ATATCACATAAGATTACATGCAGACTGCCGCTTACAGATTTGGCCGCTGTCATCCGGTCATGAACATGAATGGGTACAGCGGCCCCATCTAAACAGGACACTTAGTATTCCTGCTTAAGGATTCCATAGGTTCCTGCCGCAGAAATCCCAAATCGCCGATGTGAATGAGACCTAACTGTAAGGTTTGACCACATATGACCAAATCTGTTGCAAACTGAGAGGCCCGCAGGAAACATTTTGGAGGCCTGATTTGAAAGTGTATAGACAGTTTAAAACATTGAACAACAAATACAATAAAATATATCACAGCAACCTGACAACTTAAGTGGGATTGGGTACGTGTCACGCCTGTACAGACTGAGGTAGCGTGGATCTCAGCTGCGGAGGCTTCTCAGGGTTGGAACTCTGGTTTCACTCTCTCAGTTTTAACAGAGAGTTAGAGTTCCTCGCATCACAGCCTCAGTTTAATTTATATGGCTTAAATGGATGGGGTTAATTATGCAAGTAAATGGCAAAGTAGTGGCAAATGATAAGGAAGGATATAAATGCAGGAGTCCAATGATATCTCCCCAAACTGGTGGAAGTACAAAACCCCAATGTAACTTAAGCCAATGCAGATAACTTGTAACAGTCCAACTGAGAATGAGTGCAAAAGCACTGAGAGTACTTGCGATTTAGTGGAGGTGTCACAATGGAAGCAGTAGAGGTTCCTGGGTGGTATCCGGATCCGGGGTATGCTGGAGGGCACAATCTGGAGGCTTGTGGAGGGTCCCAGGAGACAGCAGGCGTTTCTGGCTCAATATTGGAACGCCATGCTGTCTCGACTGGGCGTTTAAATAGGCCACTGATGGACAGGAGGAGCCGAGGGACAGCTCGGCGCACTTCCGCGTTCCACGTTGGAACGCACGCTGTCCCGAAACCCGGAAATGCGGAGCGTGCGCTCCACCCTGGAACGCAATCGACTCCCTCCTTGCCCGCAGGCGGCGGTCGTTACAGAACCCCCCCCTCAAGGGAGCACCGCTGGGGCTCCTGGCAGGGAATGGCCTGTCAGGGAACCTACGGTGAAAAGTTCTAACCAAACGAGGAGCATGTAGTATATGAATTATATGTATTTATTTATGGTATTTATATAGTGCAGACAATTTGCGCAGTGCTTTACATAGTTGCACATTCACATTTATATGTACATTTGTTGAACTGATAAGTCAACATTTATTTCACTCATGGACGATGTTGGAAGATAAAACTTAATTGATTTGCAGTAAATTACTGCACATTATCATTACTGTCTGAAAACACTTAAGTAAAAAAAAAAAACAAACCATACATGTACTGTACTTTTACCATGTGACAAGCCATCACACACTTTACAATCTGATTGTACAATCCTCTTTAGATCTACCAACAACTATGTAGTGCAAGGGCCTGCCTGACTGGATACAGACTGGATAGTTTAGCTAGTGCCTCATATTACAGTTTTGATAATCTGACATTTATTGTACAACATGTATGGTGACCCTTAGACTTTATTCTGTATGCAAGCCTTGCTTTGGGAAATAACTTTCCATCATTCCTTAAAGGGTTTCGGTTACCTGCAGTGATTGCTTATTTTATTCTTTTGTCCATTAGTTGCACTCTAAATTGCATTCCTCATGTGCACGATAGCTGTTTGCTATTTTGAGACTTGACGCTTAATACCTATTGCTTTGTCGCCCTCTAGTGGACTCTGAGCATCGTGATAACCCCAAACTAAAATGTGTAAGTCTTATGCAGGATTTGTGTAACATACTGTACTTTAAATGTAGTAAATAAAGTGCAAAGATGTTTATATGCCCCATCATTGGTGATACCTAATGCACGATAGATCTGAATGACAATTGGGGGACATTTAAAAATCAGAAAGACAAACAAAACTGCACATTTATAAAATAATGCGACAGGCTTTAATAATGTGCAATGTGTTTGCCTGCTTCAGAAAAAGAATCCAGGTTACGTGACCTGTCAAAGTCACATGGCTGGCTCTTCTTTAATCATGGAACTCTGCTGCAATAAGATAAGAGAACTCTTTGGGGCAACACAGGGCACACACGACAGCCTGCCTTTTATGAATGGGCTATAAAATATCTGCTCTTGGTTATATGAGCCCCTTAGTCTAAATATAAGCATAAATCCAGATTTAAAATCTATTAACCACTTGAAGACCGCGGTGTTTCACCCCCTTCCTGGCCAGGCCATTTTTCAGTGTTCAGCGCTGCGGTACTTTGACTGACATTTATTCCGTCATGCAACGCTGTACTGAAATGAATTTTATACAATTTTTTGGGGACAGATAGAGCTTCCTTTTGGTGGTATTTAATTACCGCTGGGGTTTTTATTTTTTACTATATAACAAAAAAGTACCCTAAATTTTGTAAAAAAAAACATGTTTCCCTATAAAATGTTATGAAACATTTATTTTCACCCCAATTTTTTGGTATACAATAAAAGACGGGGTCACGTCGGGTAAATAGACACTAAATATGTCAACCTTTAAAATTGCGCGCGCCCGCGAAATCGCAGAAAACCAAAATTGGCCATAGGCGACACTTTAAACGTTTTTACCGCTCATCAGTTTAGTGTTATCAGTGATTGATGGCCCTAAAATTATTGCTCTCACTCCGATGTTCGTGGCGATATGTAACATGTGCTGCATAATAGGCGCAAGGTGTAATAGCCAGTTCACCAAACAGGTCCTCTTTATGGAGACATCAGGGGTCTCCAAGACCTCTGATGTCACCTAGGGACCCCCACAGAAGCTGATGAAGCACAGATCTGCTTCATCAGCTTCTCTCCGGTGTTCAGCACCGGAGAGTGACACTGAATGCAGGAAGTGATGTAAAATACATCACTTCCTGCATTCGGGGACAGGAAGAGAGATCAAAGGGAAATCGAGTAATGATCTCCCTTTGATCTGCTGTTAGACCGTCGCCGTGCCGGTCCCAGCCGCAACGGCCACATCGGATCACGGACGAGGAGACGGCGGGACAGAGGTACGGGGGGGTGGGGGTGGGGAGGCCGCACACCCGCAGCTCCTGCAAGCGATCGGGCGTCTCTAGAGATGCCTGATCGCTTGTATGTAAACAGCCATCGCTGGCTGTTTACATGCTTACAGTTTCCCCTCTCGTGTGCGCGCTGAGTGCCGCACACGAGAGGGGGGAGGGGCAGGACGTCTTAAGACGCCCTCCCGCTCCTAGCAGACGTCCGTCCGGCCGTTCACAAACGGCCATGGACGGAAGGTGGTTAATGTTGTTATCCTAAATTTGGGTTTTCATAGGATATTTCCGTAATATTGGATTACACTGTATGAAGCACGAATTAGATCAATTTGAATGTTTCATCTAGCTTTAGGGAGATTTCAGTGGTGGTCACACTTATTACAAACTAATCAAATTATCTCACTTTGTATGATATTTTTTTCATACTGTTCAATCTAGACCAGTAGATTGGTCACTTAGTAAAGTTGGCAAAACACATTGCAATCTGCTAAGTATAGATAGAATGAACCCAAACAATGAGGACCCAGCCAGATTGCACTGCCTGTCTAGTTGACACTTTTTGAATTTGTAGCAAATTTGCTTGGCAAGTCTACAGCAAGAGACCTGCAGGTCTTAGCAAGAGCTCTGCAAGCTCGCTGGTCTGGAGACTTTCAATGCAGACTTGCTGTAATTGTGCAACAAAATTGTGAAGCTTGGCAAGTCTGCAATAGTTTAGCAAGGCATTTTCAAACTTGCAGCACAATTTCTTGCTATCTGGGATATTGCCAAATGTATTGGGACACCCCTCCAAATGATTGGATTCAGGTGTTCCAATCACCTCCATGGCCACAGGTGTATAAAATCAAGCACCCAGGCATGTAGACTGCTTCTACAAACATTTGTGAAAGAATGGGTCGCCCTCAGGAGTTCAGTGAATTCAAGCGTGGTACCGTGATAGGTTGCCACCTACAATAAGTCCATCCGTGAAATTTTCTTCCTACTAAATATTCCACGATCAACTTTTAGTGGTGGTATAACAAAGTGGAAGCAACTGGGAACAACAGCAACTCAGCCACGAAGTGGTAGGCCACGTAAAATGACAGAGTGGGATCAGCGCATGCTGAAGTGCACAGTGTGCAGAAGTCGCCAACTGTCTGCAGAGTCAATAGCTACAGACCTCCAAACTTGGCCCGGCCTTCATATTGGCACAACAACAGTGCATAGAGAGCGTCATAGTATGGGTTTCCATGGCCGAGCAGCTGAATCCAAGCCTTACATCACCAAGTGCAATGCAAAGATCAGATGCAGTGGTGTAAAGCACGCCGCCACTGGACTCTAGAGAAGTGGAGATGTGTTCTCTGGAGTGACGAATCACACTTCTCTGTCTGGCAATCCGTTGGACGTGTGTGGGTTTGGCAGTTGCCAGGAGAACGGTACTTGCCTGACTGCATTGTGCCAAGTGTAAAGTTTGGTGGAGGGGGGATTATAGTGTGGGGTTGTTTTTCAGAGGTTGGGCTTGGCCCCTTAGTTCCAGTGAAAGGAACTCTTAAGACATCAGCATACCAAGGCATTTTGGACAATGTCATGTTCCCAAGTTTGTTGGAACTGTTTATCTGTTCCCTACATCAGTACCTGACCTCGCAAATGCGCTTCTGGAAGAATGGTCAAACATTCCCATAGACACACTCCTCAACCTTGCGGACACCTTCCCAGAAGAGTTGAAGCTGTTATAGCAGCAAAGGGTGGGCCAACTCAATATTGAACCCTACGGACTAAGACTGGGATGCCATTAAAGTTTATATGCATGTAAAGGCCGGCGTCCCAATGCTTTTGGCAATATAGTGTAACAATATATGAAACTGGCAGGGCTCGTTAACAGGAATCATCACTGGAACAGAGATCACAGGTACAGGAGCCTGAGAACTCATACTCAGTGGTGTCTTTGCTCAGGCAACTCCCAATTGCATTGATCAAGTTTTCCCAGACATGACCTTAGAAGAGATGTCCACCAGCAGAGGGAGTGTGAGAAAGTGTAAACACAAAGATTTGAAAGATCTACGGCAGTTTTCTGGAAATCTTTACAGCTGTTGCACAGATGAAGAGGAACCAAATGTGGGATCTAGGTGTGAAATAGCAGACTGCTCTGCAGAGACTCATGATGCAACATGAATAGCCGCAGGCAGACACAGGTTGGTTCTGAAGTCAGCGAACGGTGACAATGAAGTTGAAATATATTGTGATAATTATGGATATTATTGTCATTTTTGGCTTTAGATCCACTTTGATGATTAGGAAACATGTAACACAAAGAGCTGTGGCACTCCTTTAACATTACATTCTTTCCAACTTCCTTTCAGTTAATAAACATGTAATTTACTTAACACTAATCGGACAGTGAATTGAGAAACCAGTTGTTTCTTCAACATCTGTAGTGACAAAAAAAAAGTACATCCAAAACTGTTTTCTTAACTTTGGGAGGTTGATGGTGGATAATAATTCTTGGGGATCCCAGCACATAGAGAAAAAAGAGTGTAGAGTTATGGAAATGATTATGGGAAGGACTATAGAAAAATCTCCCCCCACAATGTTGCCTTTTGAGATAATCTGTCCTGGCTGCAAGTGAACACTGATGCTCTATGATATGGTTTTATCAGTCATCACAGACCATATGTAACGACTGGTTTTATGAATGTTAGAACCAGAATGTGCTATTGGGTATGAACAATGTCCGCTTTATCTACGGGACTACCACTAGATGTTACCGTTCACAGGTGAGGAGAATAAAGGCTTGTTAAGATGGGCAGCTAGATGCTGTGCTATAGCCATATACAAATTGTTGATTAACTACATCCAGCTTGTGTGTGGCCAGAACTACCAGCCCTGCAAAATGTGTGCATCCAGGGCTGGTCAGAAGCCCTATCTGGGATGTAACCACTGGTATGAGTGGTAACATGTGAACAGTCTTAGCACCAGCCATTGATTATTACAGGGTACAAACCTGTTCATGGCAGTTCCACAGTTTCCATGGTGTGCATGGTGCAGATTCTTAGCAGCAAATAAGTTCAAAGATGTTGTTAACGGTTAATAGGGGGGTTACACAAGAAAAAAACTTTCATAGAAATTTTTTTTTCAGAAGTTCTAATACATAGAACAGGATTCTGGAGCTCTGTGACAGTGGCGCCCCTCTGATCACACTGGGAGAGCCACTGCCTGGTATATTCTGTGGGCCTGGTAGATTGGCCTTGCCTTGCCCCCAGGGCTTCACCAGCTCCATCCCTCATCCAGGCCCCATAGCAGTTACATAAGCTGCTATTGCATTAGGTCTGCCACTGATAAGATTCCAATTAATCTGCAGCTACGTTCCTTTGTGCAAAACTAAAGCATTACAGTAGCGAACCACAACGGCAGCCTCCAAGTTTCCCCCATACCAGGTTTAATTTGGGCCTCAGAAATATCTGTGTTTTCTTAGAATAACCCCATGAACATTTATTTGTTGATGTGTTATTTTAACAATGCAAACTTGGTTTAATAAATTCATATAGAACGAAATTTGCCCATCACTGCAGTACATTAGAACAATGCTTGCTTTGGCTATTGCTGGAATCACTGACTGCCAAGTACAATAAACCAAGTAACACATTCTGCATTCTCCAGAGCCATTCTCTGATGCAAAAAGTGACTGTATATTTTAAAATAGCTATTACTTTATTATTTCTGTCACGAAACCCATCACATAACTACACTTTTAACATGGCCAAAGTGTTATTAAATTATATGCAATTAGAAAGATAAATTAAATAAAGTGCGTATTACATATATGGGTGCTGGGTTACCTGCCCAGAGATTTGTATTTGGGAATATGACTGAAACCTTTAAATACATTATTATTTAGAACAAAACAAAATTTACATGTCTATTTGATGTTTGGAACAGACTTCCAGCAGAGGTAGTGGAGTGAATTTACTAAAGGCAAATAGACTGTGCACTTTACTAGAGAAATTTCCCTTAGTGAATGAAGTGAAGCTCTATTATGTGCAAGCAAAAACATTTATTTTTTTTCTTGCACTTGATTGGAAATCCTTTCCAAGAATACTAAGCTAAGGGGCAATCCCCTTACAAAGTGAACAGCCTATTTGTCTTTAACAAACGAACCCCACGTCAGTCAACAGTAGGTGAATTTGTTTGCTTGGGGCAAGCATAGACCTATACAAAAAGGTTAAAAAAAAGCGATACAAATAAAAAAAACAAGGGGCAGATTGATGGACCACTTGCTCTTTTTCTGCTCTAACTATTTCTATTTTTATTAATCCATATTAATACAGCTTTGCTTTATTCCCTCTTACCATCAACCTGGGACTGGACAGTAAAAAGAGTGGCAGCAAACTAAGGGACTGAACTTTCTGCCACTCTACTCTCTCCATCTATCAATATGATCCGTGTTGGCACATAATCACTAAAACACAACTGATTGGATCCTTGAGCTTCCCCTCCCCTTTTGAGCCTGAATGCTGTGGTACAGAATTTGCAGTATGCTGATACCAGGTCAATTGTAGGTTCTTACTCTGCTTGTATTTACAAAAATACATTTAATGATGTATTAAAGAATACAGAGCTGCATTAATGTTTGTCTTTTATATTTGTCTGGAGTTCATCTTTAAAGTAGAGCTTTTTCTGCTTTGAGTAAAATAAAGTAGGCCCCCCCCCCCTCTTGTGATAGAGTGATGATATCTTCATATTCTATTCTATTATTTTTTATCATTACTTTACACAGCTTTCTCCCAGATTGCATAGGAGTTGTAGCTATTCAATTATTTTACAACATTGAACCAGACTCGGGGAGGGGGTGACATGTTGTCTCTGCTGCACAATACCTTGAACATTTTATTTTGTTTTGCAGGAAGAAGTTAGGCGATTCTCTTTTCCTCCTTGTGTGTGGAATGCAGTAAGCAAGTTCCAAAAATGAAATGAGGACTTATACTCATATTAATTATCACATTAAAATTTGAATTTCAGTTAGATGTTTTGCATTTAAACTATAGCTATACATTTTAAGAAATGTTTCAATTTTATTTGGAAAGTGTTATTTCAGTATGATTGTATTTATTGACAATATACCCCACATAAGCTATGCATACAGGTGACCTATACTTTTACAGTATATTATATACAATTTATTGTTGTTATTCTTATAATTATTTGTTATCCTGTTATCCTTCTTATGTATCATGTATACTCTTCTGTGTTGTTTTAGGGCTTGATTCCTAATGGACCTTTCCTGTCCATTATCCTAGCAGGCAGATTTTTAAGGGATTGTGCTGATGGTGCACATTTCAGGGGGGGTGGGGAGGTCTGGCTCCAGCTCTGGCTGGCGTCCTGCCCAGCTCACTGACATCACTGGTTGCCGGGAGCTGGGTAGGATGCCGTCCAGAGTGTCCCAGGTTGCTAAGAGCTGGGTGGGGAGATATGTATGGCCCTTATACATTTCCCTGCCCGGCTCTTAGCAACCTTGGATGCTCTGGCTGGAAAGGGGTGGCAGACACACTGCAAGCATTGTGCAGCAGAGTCGCCATGACGCTCCTCCTGCTGCCTCCCCACCTGAACCTAAGAGATGCCGCCTAAGGCAACAGCTTCAGTCTGGAGAGTCCATTATTCATATATTCCTTTGGACAGTCAATTCTCTATATATTTCTATAGACAGCTCATTCTCCATATATTTCTATAGAGAGTCAATTCACTATGGGGTCTATTCACAAAGCTGCCGAAGGATCTGGCCGTAGCTTTGGCCGATCCTTCGGCTAGCTTCAACGCTGTGTCTTTTTTCTTTATTCTGACACCAGGCGATGTCAGAATAGAGAAAAAAAAAAAAAGAAAAATTCCCATTCAAAAGCATTGGGACATTACTATTGGCTATTTCAATTTCAATAGCCAATAGTAAACTAGCATTGTACCCGCCCTCTTTTGCAGTTCCCCATCAGGTCCATCAGCAGAGGGCGGGTACAATGCTAGTTTACTATTGGCTATTGCAAATTGAAATAGCCAATAGTAAACTCCCAATGCTTTTGAATGGGAATTCGTCTTTTTTTTTTCTCTATTCTGACATCGCTCGTGTCAGAATAAAGAAAAAAAAAGACACAGCGGGGTTTCTCTTCTTGGCGGCCGGGAGCGGGGGGCTCCCAGAGCGCCCGGGAGATTTTTTACATTTTTTTAATTTTTTTTTTTTTACAGCAGCAGAGCCGCCGGACAATAGGAAACTATTGGGCGGAGCTAGCTGTCACTGCTAGCTCTGCACAATCGTTTTCTATTAACTTTTTTCTACTTTTTTCACTCTTTTTCTGTTCTGCTCGGTGCCTCTGAGGGACCGAGCAGAACAGCCGAGCCAAATGCCGCTCGGCGGCATTTGGCTATTCTCTCACTGCTGTTCGGGATCTTTCAGAATAGCCCGAACAGCAGTGTGAAGCCTGCCGGAGGTTCGGCTCAGCCGATCCAGATGTTGGATCGGCTGAGTCGAACTCCTTCTGCACTTCGGGTCAGCCGAACATGCTGAGCATGTTCGGCTGATCCGAAGCCACACGAAGCAAGCCGATGTACGGCTGAAATCAGCCGTACCAGCCTGAAGTGAATAGCCGAACAGTGTTCGGCTCACTTCACTTCTGATCGGTCATTCACTCGGTTGCCCTCGGCAGCTTTGTGAATAGACCCCTATATATTTCTATGGAGTGCAACTAATGTTATGACAAGTATCAAATGCTGTCTTACATTGCTCTACTCCTTTCTCTGTTTTCCATATGATATTTCTATACCAGCAGAAGCAAGGCCTGAGTTTCAAATCATATCCTATACTTTAAGTTAACAAAGTCATTTTAGAATGTGAAATATATATTATATGGTGTGTTATTAATATCATAGAGAATATTATCAATATTATAATCATGAATTTTGTGGCAGGCTCCAAAGGCAATTAGCTATATCCTTAGCATCCTCTTTGATTCAAACTGAAAGAACTAATTTGGATTTAATACCAGTGTTAAATATGCCAAACAGTAGGCTTTATTGTGGATGTGGTAAGGTCACTGGGGGTGCAGCAGCATCTAAGTTTAGACTGTTTAAATCCAGTTTAATGTTT